TTGGGGAAATTGATACGTACTGATCATGACAATATACAAACTGACTTGGTATCTAAGCAAAATCAGAGTCCAACTTTTTATTAATTGCCTAGATCATGCCACAATGTGAAAAGTCTTCGTCAAAAATCTTGAACGGGTGATAATTATGTAATTATACTAAATTATCCAATTTAATGAATGCTTTCCAATGAATGTTCTGTATGTTACTTCCTAAAGACCTGTTGACTGTGATGAGATGGAACAATACAGTTAGAACAAACGTATTGTTGCCGATGTGTTTACGTGAACACAGAGAATAACCGTCGTAGTTCATCACCTAACACGAAACCGCACAAACAGGCTTTGCTAGTGAAAAGAGAGGAAGAGCACTAATTATGTCCGTGAAATAACATTTGAAAGTGAACAGTTTATTGGTTTACCAGCTCAAATTGTGTTCTAAAAAACAGGAAAGAGACTTAGCGACTTTAGGCAGGAAACAGCAGCATTGCCATAGATGCATCAAAACACCGCAAAAGGCATAAAACGTCAAGTGTTTTCACCCGGAGTCAGTGAGATGAAATGACATCTACTTTTGGAACCATTCCAGAAGCCGGTCAGCTTACGAATCGTCTTTCAAAGAAAGCAAGTAAAACCGTCGAGATATGGGGTGTCTACACGATGTTCAAAGAAGGGAAGGCTGCTCAAACTGCCAAAGAAACGAAAAGATAAGCTAAGGTGTTGAGAATCTGTGACGGCGAATGCAAACGTAGTCAACTGTCTAAATTGTTAGCTGGAAAATCAGTAATGTACTTCAATCATGCAGATGAAAACCACAAGTACAGTTAGGGAGTAAGTATCATGATTTCACGAGCAGCGTCAGAAATTCTTATCTCTCACAAGGCATAACCAGCAAGATCCAAGGCAAAAGGTTGGAAATTCGTACGCATCCTGCAAAAATGTAAACTGCGAGATACCTCTGCTGCAGATATCAGAGACACATTGTAGATGTTACACAGAACCACCATATATGAAATTGATGTTGGTGAAAACCTACTCCTACATTTTGCGAAGAAAGAAGAAGCAAGAAAAAGTATTGTTCTCTAGAGACATGTGATAGCCTGTAGAGGAGAGAATGATGGTGAAACATAAGATGAACCTATTCAATGACAGACAACTGAACGCCAGCCAAGAAGAAAAGCGGACCAAATGGAATTCCTTTTGTGGCACTGCAAATTGATCTCGACATAAAAGTGGATATCTTCAGGCTACTACCACAGAAGTAAAGGGAGGAAAAGAACGCACCAGTTGAAAGATAGGCTTTTCTGTGAAACTACCTAAGAAGTACTTCTTAGACCATTGTAAAAACTGGATGCACCCAGAATAAAAACGGTATTCAGGAAAGGCAAATCATATACTAGCCGAATCGCAATGCTATGCATCATCACCGAATACAGCATAGAATGACAGTCACTTCCGTACTTCATCTCTGTTTACACTGAAAAATCCTTCCGCAGTGTCTATCAAAAAGTAATTTCGAAATGACCTCAACTGTTTGGAGTCACTCATGCTTTCGCCAACTTCACTGAATAGCTATCCGACAATGCAACATACCAATTTATTCACGGTGTGAAGGTCAGGGATGCTTCAGAAGTGAAGAAATGAGTGAGACAAGACTGAGTACTATTACTGTTGATATACGTGATTATGGCTGAACAGTGAACATGTTGGGTTGACAGGAAGATTCATCAAGGTTTTACCATCGAAGACGACTCATGTGTAATATAACACAAACTTGAATGTCTTCAGGCAAAAATCAACCAGTTAACGTGCGACGCAGCTAGAGCCGAAATTTTGAGTTGAGAAGTTGTGTTTGCTCACCAACCAAGAACACACACTAATTGCTATTGAAAAAACATATATGAGTGAAGTCACCACATTCACTCACCTTGGGCGACATCGTTTTAAATACCGAAGCACGAATGCAGATATAGACATAGGGTAGGGAAAATAAAACAGAAGTATATTAACTTGCAATCTGTGTTGATAAATACCACAATCATCATTGGGAACAGTAAATCATAATTTTTTTAATTTAATTTTCGATTACAGCTTGATTCAACACAGTATTTTTGGTACAAGTGTGGAACTTTCATCATGGATACCAGTAGCCTAAATTTTGCAAGCCAACCATAGATATCAGGTGTGCGTGGACAGGGGATTGAACCTCGGACCAATACTGTGCCACCGACGCATCGGAACTTCAATTTTCACGTCAAGCCAACGCCCTAAAAGTTTTGGAAGAACTGGTGCGCGCGTCACGGAAAGTATTTTAAACTTGCTCAAAACTTTCACCAACATCTGCGTTTGCTGGTCACATACTAAACATTTTGTAGTCAGTCAGAAAGGACAAATTACGAAGAACTGTGTGAATTAACCAACCAAAAACTTATCGCCCAACAAATATGATGGAGGAGTGGAGGTGCTTCTGGCAGGTGACAGGCCTTTGACCAGAACCGAGATGGAAATTGGTTTATTAGGGCTACAAGCATAAAATGTCAAAGATAGTGTGAAATTGTAAGTGGTCATTTAGCCAGCTAAAGTAGTCTGGAGAGGACCAGATAAATTGTGGACGTGCTGACGAAATCTTTTATTTCACTCATAACCCATGAGAATAATAATAATTATAAATGTATTCCACTTGTCACTTGATAAAAAATCAATCAACTGATTAGGAGAACTTACTAAAGAATGTTTATCACATAGTCGTGATCTTTGAAGAATCTGCATACCGCTGATCTGTAAATCAAAGTAAAATTTGATTGGTTGCCTTAATCTAATCCTACACTTGAGTAATCAAGACGATTGCACTGACTGCAATGAGTATCATGATAATCAAATCTACGAAGAACTAGAAATAACAAATGCGTTTAATAGATAACGATATTCTTACCCAAGTGTAAAAGCTGGATGGTTCCCTTTGTACCTTCTCATTCTTGTAAGCAAATGCGTTGAGCACGACCATCTTTTGATATTCTGAAATTTCAAAAGAAAAAATGCTGACAACACGATTGAACAGAAATGAAAATGAGGGATTTATTTTATTATTATTATTATTTTCCTTCATGTTCTCCAGCGGAACATAGAGCTTCAAGCTAATGGCTTGAAGTTACTGTAGCAGTGTTTGTTTTGCAGGATGGGGTTGCTAGCCTCATGCCCAACCTTTCTTCCTTATCAGAATTATATCTGGCCTAGAGAGGTAAAGGAGTGCGTCGGCCGGAGATCGAACCCCAGACCATGTGCATGTTGACGAGTGCCCTAACAGCTATGCCAACGATTTACTACAATGTTTTTCTCCGTGGATTATACCCTCAAAATTTCTTGAAGAAATACACGAGTGCTTTCAATTTATACATGCATTTATAACTCATAGATAGAGTGAATAGACAGAATGGTCTTACTATTAGAGGCCTAGGTTGACGAGTCAGTATCCAAAGTAATTTCATAAATTGCACATTATTTCACAATTTCCAATTAACACAATATGAGAAGGAGAAACCTCGACAAAGTGTTCTTTAGAAACTATAATGTACAGATCAAAACTATGCTACTTGCTTCATACCATAAACCGTAGATATGGAAAGTAGCATAAATGCGAAAGACTATTTACAACTGACTGATTGAGATCAGTGGTTGCAAACCATTCATGTGAACCATTAGCCCTCGCTAGTCAGATTGAGATGATTCAAACTCCAGAAGACCTTTTCGCACGTTTGGGACCGGGTTCATCGGCAGTGTTTTCATCAATTTCTGCAGGTTAGGGCTAAAGAGCACACTTTCATGTCATCTAACTCAACTGAGCTAGAAAGCTGTTGACCAATGTAAATTATAATTCAGTACATTTGCACAAATGCGACTAGTCAGGATCATATGCTTTAATTCATCGAAGCTGCATCCATAAAAAGACATAAATTGATTCTTTATGTTCAAAATTCATTATCATTGCTGAAGACCTGCATTCTTAATCCAATTTTCAGTTGAAACCACGTTTTCTGCAACGATATTTTCATCGGCTTTCTTTCTTACACTTTATTTTCGGTCTTGAGCCTTAAACATTTCGATCGATATTCATTCAACTTTCACTCTAATTTCGTTTGTTGTCAGTTATCATTAACCAACATCAGTTAGGTAGAACATTAAAAACCAAGAGGCGGTCAAAACCTGTTTCCTTTATTTTGGCCGCTGTAAGCCATTTCTGGCTGACAATCTCACCAGAAACCCAACAAAGGGACTCACAGGTAAAGGGAACAATCTTACTAACCACTCAGAATCTCGAGATGGAAATCAGTGGCCCGGTAACCTGACCAATGGATTGGATGAGCATTTGCTTCCCCTCTAGACTGTGGACCCCAGCGGCTACGAATTCTCATCGAAGCTTCAGGACATATATCTAGTAGCAAACATTTAACTCGAGGTTGACATTTTAATTATGGGTCTATGGACGCGGTCACGTAAAATGAAAGTTCTAGGTGCTATCTCTAGTGAGAATGTGGGTAGGTATTCAGGAAGAGTCCTGAAAGAGGAAAAAACAACTGCCCAGTGCTCCTTGAAATTCAGTGCTTTCACAAACCTACGTTTTCTAGAGATAAAATCTGATGACCGAAATTAAATAAATTCAAATTGGCGTATATCCTATAATTTGTCTTCGAATTGCTCAATTTGTGCTGCTCAAATGCCTTGTTCGTTTCAGATACTTCGCGCTCTCATTATGTTTCCCGGAGTTCAATAAACGCCAATATCTGCGTTTATGAATTAAGCAAATTCGAAATGACTTAATTTATGTTTCTATAACTCGATGGCAATTTTAGGTAACTGACCCAATTCCTAATTCCTAATTGAAGTGTATATCTACAATGTGTGTGTGGAGTGAGACGTGATGGTCAGACAGCTTCTTATCAAATAAATTCAAGAATTAGTTAAACCAACTAAGATAAACAAAATGGGGATAGGAGTAATCGACTTACACTATAAAACTCCCCGCTTCGAAATGTAACTACTAGAAAATATTCGCATAACTTCACACGTATATTTTAACTTCGTTCAATAAATTTACTGACACGATCATTCATATTGAGTGGTCATAGTACATTTTGATTCTCAATGGCTATATACTTCACGGTTTTTGAGCATATCTGGAGTTTGATCAATAATCCGACGCATACTTTTAATTTTTAGATCGAAGATTGCTGATTTTGTCAGTTTATTGAATCAAAGGACTATTCACCTTTAGTTTGTCCGTCTTTTTCGATGAAATTGAATAATGTGATCAAAGCAACATGGTATCACCAGATGAATTCCCCTTTGTCATATGACCGTTGTCAGTCACGCTTATTGAGATTATTTAGTTGAAAGAAAATATTCACGGTGAGATTTTATTTAGTGCATTTTCAAGAATAAGCACTTCTAAATATTAGCTTTGAATGGCATTCTGACTAGTGGGGCTCTGGAAACAGTTGGGAAGCAGTCGAACATTTTCTATTAACTCATAAACATTACCATGTTTTCTGTTTACGAAGTTATATTTTTATAGTTTTCGTTTGTAAGGATTAGTTATGTTTTACGAGTTGATCACGGATTGATATCAGTTAGAGAACCATTGAAAACCAGGGAGTACTGGACAGCTGCTGTTTCATCCTAGTTTGGGAATCATCGGCAGTACGCACCCTCTGGGTTATATTTGCCGTTTCATTAAACTGAAATCCAGGGCATCGTAATTTCAAGATGAAATATACAAACAAGCGAAATGAATGGAAAAGTATCCGCCATTGTCTGCGCTGGAATCGTTAATATTTGTGGTTAACGGAGAACACGAATCTCTAAGAAGCTTTGATTCTGATCTTGAGTTGCAGCGGAGGTAGTGGAGAAATGCACTCACAGTGTTTAAATCTCCACAAAATACTACGCTGTTGACACTAATAGACTCAGCAGAAGGTAGAATCTAGAACACTTTAGAGTGGCAAATTGAACAGGGTTAGTTAAGAGAAAACTATCCCACTCGAATACCTAATTTAGGCTTGATTAATATGTAATATAGGATTCGAGTCAGAAAGTTACACTGTGTTTCAGGAAATGGATTTGCAACAGGTTGCAGATTTTTATCAACACCTTTCTTTGCTCCGTACTGGGGATAAAATAGCCAGAATGAATGATCAACAAGAAACTATGGGAACAAACCAACAGGCGTGTGCTGATCGCTCTAAAAATATGTATGAGAAAGTGGAGATGGATCGGTCATACGTTGAGGAGACCGCCGAATGACATTGTACGCCAGGTCCTCGAGTGAAATCCCAATAGGAAGCGACGAGTGGGTCGTTGGAGGAGATAGTGTGAAGAAAATATGAGAGGGTTTGATCAATCGTGGACCCAGCTGAAGAGGACTGCAGAAAACAGAACTATATGATGTGCTGATGAAGTCCTATGCTCGACTCGTAACGCAGTGGAATAATAATAAATATTACCGAAGCCCTGCACACTTGCAGAGTTCTCTACATTATAGACTTCTAAAGACAGCGGAGGCATTGACCATTTTTGAATTAAAGTGAGACCTTTTTGTAAAAAGGAAATTTGTACAGTCCCTGATTCTATCTTTTCCGTCGAGGACACAGTGGTTAGAACTCTCGCCGACCACGCACATGGTCTAGGGTTCGATCCCCTACCTGGTGGTCAATAGTCAGCCTGCAAAATTTGGGCTATAGATATCCATGCTGAAAATTCCATACTTGTACCAAAAAAATATGGTGTGGAATCGAGCTTCAATCAAAAAATAAAATAATATTTATTAAATCTATGTACCTTTCTCTCAATAATACGATTATTATTATTCTCGCTTTGATTTGTCCCACTTGCACCTCTTGTCACTCATAAATACAGAATTCGTTTCAATATTGAATCTTATCTTACCAGATTCAACATCATGTTATGTCACATTTCATGTAAACCTACTAATCCTATAATTTTGTACCACTTTCCATTGTTGAAAAGAGTCTTTTCGTGGATTGTTGTGTTCTTAATGCGGTATCAAGGATAAGTGAATCAGTGAAATCATATTTTTAACTTGTGTGTATTTATTCTAAATTTTAATATATATATTTTATGTTTTACATATCAATTTGTTAAACAAATCACACATATAGGTGTTTTACATCAATGGAGGTATCACAATGCCTAATAAACGAAGGAAATTGGCTTATCCACCTGCCCTTAAAAACAAATACTTAACATTGTCAATCGCAGGCAGGTCGTATAGAAGGACTGTGAAGTATATTTCAGTAATGCGCTTTACCCATACAAATAACTGTTTCAAGTCATTTGTATTCTGAGTTATTGAAGCTTTATCCGTAGGTAGGCCTAATGCAGTTCAATGCTTCCAGACATTATTTTAATGTTAGTCTGAACCGGCCATGGTTACCTCATTTTATAATTATGCTTTATTTTACCTGATAACATTTGCATCACCTTCCGTTTCTTACACCTTATCTGCGGAACAGAATTTACAATACAAGGGGTAAGACTGCTTATCATCTTCCATAAAATAATAACATTAATGTTGAACATTCTCCTCGCAACCTCACGGAATATTCATGTTTAAGAGAAGATACTACAAGCTCTTAAATGATGGAAGCAAAATAGCTATAAGTATTACTATTTTCAAGAATAATATTGTTCTAGACAGCAGAATTATTTATTTGAATGATATCACCGAGAAGTGCTGAGATGGGTGGTAATAAACCGAATTCACTTTGTTCGTCTTTCCTTCTGATGAGCAGTAACATAGCTGGAAATGTGTTATTGAAAGTTTGATTGCATGGAGGATTTAATCATGAGCTGACATCAGTTAGAGAACCACTGGAAAACCTGGGAGTACTGGACAGCCGTTTCGTCCTAGTTTGGGACTCCTCAGCAGTACGCACCCACCGGGATTCGAACCCAGGACCTTCTGGTTACAAGGCGAGCTCGTAGACCATTGAGCCACTGGGACCCGATCCAATGGTCCTTGAATTCTAACTTCTGCCAGTTCACGACATAGCGCGACCACTTCGCAATGTCTTCTTCGATGAGTTACTGCCTCATCTTCGACTTGCTGTACCCTACTGGTCACGGCTTCCCACTAGAACCCCAGGTTAACTGCCTGAATAGGGCCAGTCACTAGTGAGCATCAGATAAATTTTCAAGTATTGGTTTTTGTAGGGATTTTGTTTGATTGCATGGAGGATTTAATCATGAGCTGACATCAGTTAGAGAACCACTGGAAAACCTGGGAGTACTGGACAGCCGTTTCGTCCTAGTTTGGGACTCCTCAGCAGTACGCACCCACCGGGATTCGAACCCAGGACCTTCAGGTTACAAGGCGAGCTCGTAGACCATTGAGCCACTGGGACCCGATCCAATGGTCCTTGAATTCTAACTTCTGCCAGTTCACGACATAGCGCGACCACTTCGCAATGTCTTCTTCGATGAGTTACTGCCTCATCTTCGACTTGCTGTACCCTACTGGTCACGGCTTCCCACTAGAACCCCAGGTTAACTGCCTGAATAGGGCCAGTCACTAGTGAGCATCAGATGAATTTTCAAGTATTGGTTTTTGTAGGGATTTTGTTTGATTGCATGGAGGATTTAATCATGAGCTGACATCAGTTAGAGAACCACTGGAAAACCTGGGAGTACTGGACAGCCGTTTCGTCCTAGTTTGGGACTCCTCAGCAGTACGCACCCACCGGGATTCGAACCCAGGACCTTCAGGTTACAAGGCGAGCTCGTAGACCATTGAGCCACTGGGACCCGATCCAATGGTCCTTGAATTCTAACTTCTGCCAGTTCACGACATAGCGCGACCACTTCGCAATGTCTTCTTCGATGAGTTACTGCCTCATCTTCGACTTGCTGTACCCTACTGGTCACGGCTTCCCACTAGAACCCCAGGTTAACTGCCTGAATAGGGCCAGTCACTAGTGAGCATCAGATGAATTTTCAAGTATTGGTTTTTGTAGGGATTTTGTTTGATTGCATGGAGGATTTAATCATGAGCTGACATCAGTTAGAGAACCACTGGAAAACCTGGGAGTACTGGACAGCCGTTTCGTCCTAGTTTGGGACTCCTCAGCAGTACGCACCCACCGGGATTCGAACCCAGGACCTTCAGGTTACAAGGCGAGCTCGTAGACCATTGAGCCACTGGGACCCGATCCAATGGTCCTTGAATTCTAACTTCTGCCAGTTCACGACATAGCGCGACCACTTCGCAATGTCTTCTTCGATGAGTTACTGCCTCATCTTCGACTTGCTGTACCCTACTGGTCACGGCTTCCCACTAGAACCCCAGGTTAACTGCCTGAATAGGGCCAGTCACTAGTGAGCATCAGATGAATTTTCAAGTATTGGTTTTTGTAGGGATTTTGTTTGATTGCATGGAGGATTTAATCATGAGCTGACATCAGTTAGAGAACCACTGGAAAACCTGGGAGTACTGGACAGCCGTTTCGTCCTAGTTTGGGACTCCTCAGCAGTACGCACCCACCGGGATTCGAACCCAGGACCTTCTGGTTACAAGGCGAGCTCGTAGACCATTGAGCCACTGGGACCCGATCCAATGGTCCTTGAATTCTAACTTCTGCCAGTTCACGACATAGCGCGACCACTTCGCAATGTCTTCTTCGATGAGTTACTGCCTCATCTTCGACTTGCTGTACCCTACTGGTCACGGCTTCCCACTAGAACCCCAGGTTAACTGCCTGAATAGGGCCAGTCACTAGTGAGCATCAGATGAATTTTCAAGTATTGGTTTTTGTAGGGATTTTGTTTGATTGCATGGAGGATTTAATCATGAGCTGACATCAGTTAGAGAACCACTGGAAAACCTGGGAGTACTGGACAGCCGTTTCGTCCTAGTTTGGGACTCCTCAGCAGTACGCACCCACCGGGATTCGAACCCAGGACCTTCAGGTTACAAGGCGAGCTCGTAGACCATTGAGCCACTGGGACCCGATCCAATGGTCCTTGAATTCTAACTTCTGCCAGTTCACGACATAGCGCGACCACTTCGCAATGTCTTCTTCGATGAGTTACTGCCTCATCTTCGACTTGCTGTACCCTACTGGTCACGGCTTCCCACTAGAACCCCAGGTTAACTGCCTGAATAGGGCCAGTCACTAGTGAGCATCAGATGAATTTTCAAGTATTGGTTTT